TGATGACCCACTTGTCTTCGAGTATCTCATCCAGTGTCGCTCGTTTCTTGGGGTCGACTTCCAGCATGCGGCCTATGATGTGTCTGCTCTCCCTAGGTAACAAACGCAGGAGACGCCAAGGACCTTTGATCACCTGCGGCGGCTGCTGGCCGTTCGATGACGTCGATGCGCGCGGCTCAGTCGAAGGGTGTTCCGAGGATTGATGCCGAGTGGTAGACTCAGAGCCGGGCCCAGATTGCCGGCGTTCGTCACGTGCAGTACTCTCAAGATCCGTAGCCGACTTGGAGGGCCCGGTGATCGACCTTGGCCCGTCGTTGGGGGGTGAGACAAAGAGTTTGTACGAGTTGTCGGATATCCGTGGCGCTTTCCATGGGAATCGGCGTAATGTCATGCAACAGAACATGATAGCAAGTGACCAGATATCGGTAGGTTGTGGGTCGTACTTGGACAGATCATACACTTCAGGTGCAAGGTAAGGATCTGAGCCGACAATACCTGAAAACAAGTTAGAAACCCTGCTGGTATAACGTCTGGTGCTACGTACCACTGGCGAGAACGATCTCGTCTTCAAATGGGTATTTGAAGACGGCAGCACTGCCAAAATCAATAATCTTCATGATTCCGTGTTCGTTGACAACGACGTTGTCAAGCTTCAAATCACGGTGAGCCAAGCCCATGCTATGGAGATATGTGACTCCATTAAGAATCTGCAGTGTGGCACAAGCAACCTCTTCGCGACTCATCTTTCCAGTCATTACTATTGCGAAAAGATCAAAGGGTGCGTATTCCATGACGACGAAGTAGCTTCCTTTTTCATTCACCAAGTCCATGGTCTCGATAATGTTTCCATGGTGGAGTGTTGATCCTATGCAGAACTCGGCAGTAACCTTTTTGTTGTAATCTTTTTCGGATTCGTACGAATGACGGTTACGGAACTGCTTGACGGCGAACGTTGTGCCATCGCTACTTCGCTTCATAAGCCGAACCGAGCCACCAGCACCGGATCCCAGCACTTTTCCAAACTTTCCGTACTTGCTCTGCAGGCCGTGGTCATCCGCAAAGGGGACATGTATCGATCCGTTTGTTATGGGTGGTGTCATGGTACCGGATTTGGTGGACTTGATCTTCTGACTCCGAATCGATGGTGCAGGAGACTTTCCGCGCTTCTCCTTGTCCTTGTCCTTGTCCTTGTTCTTGTGTCCAATCTTGAAGAAGCGTTTGAGTTCAGCCATTGATCCATGGTGTTTGCCGGTCGGCGACTTGACATCTTCTGCATCGGAGCCGTGGCCCTTGATGGACCTCTTTCCGAATATACTCGACCGCTTGCTGTCTTCCCTGTCAGAATCAGTGCCCTTGGAGCGTGGCAATTGATAAACTGATGATGCTGCTGAACTGCGTCCGTCACGTCCACCGTAGATGTAGCGGGCTTCTAGTGAGTCGAGGTTTCTCGCCTGTGCTGCGCGTTTGGAGCGGGTGTAGGTATCTTCCTTCTCTCCTTGTGGTGTATATGGCCGGCTACCAGGTGCCGGAGAGGATGCGCCTGGCGTGCGATCACCACCAGAACCAGCAGGACTAGCGTCCCGGGAAGTCGGATTGGAATCACCGGTAGGGCCTATAGCAAATACTGGATTGCGTTTTGGATGGGGTTGAACGACGGCGGGCAAGTCTGAGGATGGTCGTGGGGACTGTGGTGCGGTTCTTGGCGATCCGGGAACTACCAACGAAGACTGGCTCTCATTCGGGCTCTGGAGAGACGAATCCATGGAGGTTGGTGGAGGCTCATGGGGAGGTGAGATTTGCGGCGTCATGAGGGCGGGGTCGCTTGGATGTTTGTTGTGTCCTGGGCCGGCTGCTTTTTCATCCCGGGACGATGTTCCTGCAGGTGTCAATGGTGGAGAATGCATGGCGGAGGCAGGTGAAGAGGGTATGGAAGAGCGATGTGCGGAGTGTCCTGAAATTGTTCGCGAGGCTGGGCTGGGTGAAGGTGCCTGTGGAGTGTTAGCTGGATGGGCGCTAGTTGCGGCATGTCATGGTCGAGAGTTTGCTTACGCGGGAGGGTGGAAGCGAGACAGGCTCGAATGAGAAGTTCTCCATGCGCTTTGCCTGCATGCGAGACTTTTGGAGCGTGGACGACAGGTTGCGTAGCTCTTCTTCGGCCTGGGGGCTCAATGGGCCATGCTGGGGCGCTTTGGCGGGGCTAGTGAGGTCGGCAACATCTCGCACGGCCTGGGCGGGCTCAATTTCCTCGTGAACCTCGCTGAAGCGGACAGACTGGGCGGGGGGAGTAGACGTCATGATGAGTGATGAGGGACAGAAGAGAGTTCTGTCAGAAAAGGGCAGCTAAGTTAGTCTAGGCCATGACGGAAAGCGCGAACGCATAGGACGGAGAGATTGCGCTTACATGGGGTGAGGAGGGCGACTCTGCGATGGAAGCTCGCTCGTCGGTCGCTACCAAAGTCCGTCAGGCGAGGGCGGTGGTGCGTTGGATGGGCCGGACAAGGGAAGCGGAGGAGGAGGAACGGGTGGGCTGGTCGTGTGCCTGGCTACAGAGCATCGAGGTTCGTCATGGGCAGCTAGGATAAGTGGATGCAGATGGAGCCCCGCGCTAGTCGTCGAGTGCGCAGCGCCAATTCGTCCGCAGTGGTGCGGGAAGCTCGGAGTCAGCACAGGCAGACAAGAGGAAGGCCGGGGCCGTGGCCGTGGTTGTTGTGGTGATGGTGATGGTGCTGGGCGGTGGTACCAGCCTGTCTATGTAAAGTAGATGCAATGCAGTGGCTGGGCGGCAGAAAAGCGGCGAGAAATGATCTTCAGAGGGGTTGTGGATAGCACCTGGCGCGGCTTGCCCCATCCGTCCAGCGTCTACGAAGGAACATCGGGAGGCTGCGGCTAAGCCTCGACTCTTTGCATTTGCCATCCACCCATTCTGCACCCACCGCCTCTGCTGGCTCCAGTCCATGATTAGCCACTCTCGTGCAGGCACAAGTACCCAGCAGACACTCCCTCTCCTCTCCCTCTCCCCTGCTGCCGCACACATACTCAGTCCTCTGCGCCCTCCCGCCCCCCCACGACACATCAGCCTGCTCCACCCCGTTGGTCTCGACCTTGCACGCCCTGCCGTGTTCTTGTTCCCTTCGACATCTTAGCCTCCGGCCCTGTTGAACAAGTCTTTACAGAGATTTTCTTCCCTGTCGCCGCCCAATCAAGACTGAGCCTCGCACGCCCCGTTGCATAATAGTGCAGTGCATCGCCGTGGCCCAAAATGTTCAGTTGGGCAAAGTCAACGTGAGTGACGAGGGAGGCCTGGGGGTGCTGGCCTGGGTGCTGCACTGCACTCGAGTACGCCGACTGACGGATGCAGGCTAGCCGCGGTTGCCGGTACCCAGGAGCCCGAATACGGTCCTGAGGCCATCCAGCCCGTGGGCAAGAAGGGCGACGAGCCTGCCTACACCGAGCTGACCAAGGATCACCTCAAGTGGTCCACCCTCGACTACACCAATGTCGAGACACAGACCTTCTACATCTTCAGCGACGCCGGCCACCAGGGCTTCCTGCAGGTCATCTACAACAACATTGCGTGCGTTGGCCCCTTCTGTACACCCGCCTCGCTTCTGTGCTTACTCTGCATAGTGGCCTCCGTGTGACCGTGCAGTTCAACTGCAAGCTCTTCTTCCCTAACAACGAGAAGCCCTTCCTCTGGGCAAGCGACCCCGTCTACAACTACGGCTTCGACGAGAAGCAGCACTCCTTCTTCGCCGACGGCGTCTCCATTGAGCTCTCCGAGGATGGCACCCAGTACGCTATCAAGGCGGCCGTCCGAGAGGACTGCATGGTAGATGTAAAGTTCACCAGGACCGCGCCTGGATTTATGGGCGGAAAGGATGGCACCACCAATTACGGTACCAACCCCAAGGAGCCATGGGGGTCGATGCACCACCACTTCTGGCCCCGATGCAGCGTCGAGGGCGCCATTCACACCAAAGAGGGCCCAGTCGACGTCAAGGGCCGCGGCATGCTGAGCCATGCTCTCCAGGGAATGAAGCCCCACCATGCCGGTAAGCATCGTGCAGAATATATACATACCCCTTTACTAAACACACCTAGCTGCCCGGTGGAACTTTGTCAACTTCCAGTCCCCCTCATACTCCGCTATTCTCATGGAGTTCACAACCCCCGCCTCATACGCCTCGACAATCGTCCGAGTTGCCGGTATTGCCACCGACGGCAAGCTCCTCTTCGCAAATACCGAAGGCGACGTCAAGCACACCGAGACCAAGCAAGACGAGACTGGCTGGCAAGCGCCTACCACAGCCAGCTACCACTGGGTCGGAAAGACGGAGGACGGAAAGGATGTCACCGCAGACATCGCGGGCCCCCTGGGTGAGATAATTGACCGCGTTGACGTCATGGCCGAGGTTCCGGGCTTTATCAAGACCATCGTTGCCAGTGCAGCAGGCACCAAGCCATATATCTACCAATATGCGCCCAAGATGACCATCAAGGTGAAGGTGGGCGATGAGGTTAAGGAGGAGGAAGGCACACTTTTCACTGAGGCCACCTTCATCTCGTAGCTGGGCTCTCCAGGCTTTGGATATGACGACCCTCAGCTATCCTTGATACCCACGTAGTAGTAATATATCAGGACTGGGACCTGGTTGTTTAATGAATAACGTTTGTCACGCTCAAGACGTCGCGTTGCATCATGTACTTTTGCTTTTATCTGACCTGCATATGAAGTTTGGCATCTAGCCTTTCCCCGCCTTGGCGAGCTTGTTTGCGGTACATCACAGCTTGCCCTGCATTCCCCGTATCTGCGGCGTAGTGTGCAGCCTCGCTATCGATACCCCACACTCTGCTTCCATCTCACTTCCTCCCCTCACTATCTCTCTCACCTGATAGCGCGTCCCCCAACCAAACGCGTTGGACGCGCGTAGCCCTCTTATCAACCAGCACACCCCCCGCTCTCCATCGTTACACCCACTACCTTTCCTCTACCTACAACGATGTCCACTCAAAGGCCTAATCAGTTTAGCGCCATACCGCGCTACACTGGTGCTTCCTCAACGCCCCGACCACAGCCACCGTCGTCGGCCACGCCATCAAGGGCTACTCAGCTCGGCCTAGGCCTCGGTCGGGGCGCCGCCGGTCTCGGGAAAAGTGTCCTTGGACGTCCCAAAGGACCCATGAAACGTCACATGTATGTCGAATACCTAGCCTTTCTCGCTAGGTAAACTACAATGTGTAACGTGTGCGCATGAACTCACAAACTGGAACCTGCACAGGAAGATTCAGAGAGATAGTATTCATGGCATTACCAAGGGCGATATTAGGTACATATTGTTCGTTTTTGTTTTTTTGAAGTATGCTTTTAGGTGGGTGATATAAGGGAATTTACTAACGATAGCTACGATAGACGACTAGCGCGTCGTGGTGGCGTTAAGCGTATCTCTGCTATAGTGTACTCTGATATTCGTCAGGCGCTGCGGGAGCGGTTGGCACGGGTATGTGTGCTTTTTGCTTTTAACGACACGCAATCTTTTTTTTAATGCATATATCATTTGCTAATGATAGATGATTAGATTCTAAAAGATATTTGCGCTATTATTGATAGCAGTGGCAGGCAGACGGTGGTGGTTACTGATGTTGTGTTTGCGCTGCAACGGGTATGTTTTCTTTTGTTCTTTTCTTGAGTAGGGACATGGGAAGAGTCTAGAGAGAAACGAGGAAATGCTAACGATGGTGATTAGCTTGGGAATCCGATTTATGGCTTTGAGCCGTCGTTCCTTCGTCAACGGTAGATTTTTGTGTATCATGATCAAGGTACGCTGTAAGGAGAGCTGGATGCGATACCCACGGCAGATATCGGCGTTTTGTAGGCGTTTGGACGGGTCCCGCTAGTTTGTTGGATTATTCGGATTCCAAAGGAGGGAAAAGGGTTCTTTTACTAAAATAAAGCTGGCCATTATACTGTCGCAGCTAGCAATAATGGATGGAATTCCCAGCGCCAAAAGAAGAATAGGTTAAGAGCCTACAAACGAGCATTTCATTTCATGACTACCACCTCCTAACCGCCTTCTTCACCTCTTCCATCCTCGTATTCCACTCATTTGCACTCTCCTGGTCCCCCCATCTATTCCTATACCATCTATCCAACGCCTCCAAAAACCTCACCCCTTCACCCTTCATCCCCGCCGACACCCTCCGATTCCTCCTCCACGCCTTATCCACACACGTCATACCAACCACACACCCATGGTGCCTCAAGAACTGCCTGAGCACCACCTCATCCAGGAAATCCGGGATACCAAACGGATTCGCAAACGGGCTCTGCTCAAACGCATAATTGCATTTAACCTCGCCCTTTAGCTGCAGCGCCCCCCACCACCGCCACCACTCGGCCAGCCGACAAAACACGACAAAATGCATCTTGTGCGCCTCGCCGTGTACCGTGTAGATATTGCCAAAGGGCTGGCACGCGCGCCAGTGATGCTCCATATCTGCATCTAACAGCCATCCCTTGGGCGGATACGTAAACGTGCTTTTCACAGCGGGGATAACGTTGATTTCCAGGCCCCGGTGATTCCTGGGGAGCAATGCGCGGTGCTGGGGTACTAGGTCCTCGAGCCAGCGCGTTACGGGCGAGAAGTCGAGATTGCGGACGGTGAAGTGGAAGGTTGTGGTTGTGTAGTAGGTGTATGCTGCTTCGATTCTTATTGCTCGGTTGATGTGCAGGAGGGATGGGGGTGCGTGGTGCTTGGGCTTGCTTAGGGAGGAGGGCCATGAAGGTGAGATGTAGTGGGTTGAGGGGAGGATGTAGGTGTAGATTTGGGTGCGGAGTTCCGAGGGGAGAAGAGATAGGAAACAAAGCTTTGATGGGTCTTTTGGGGTGATGTGGTAGAGGTCGCGTTTGTAAGTTATGGTGTCTTTTTGGTGGGATGTGAGCGTCGAGGGGCGTTTGAGGGCCTTCTTCTTTTCCTGGGATGTTGGAGTGGAGTTGTCGGCTTTGCTTAGTCTGGCTGGTGTCTTTGGACTCGACAGTATTGTAGGTTTGTTTTGTCCACGCGATTCTGTCAACTTCCTGGGGCTAGGTGATGGAGTTGCTTTTACCACCTCTGGGTCCCGGATCGTTCTTGATGACTTTGGGCTGGCTTTTGAGATGGACGAGGCCGTGGCGCGTGCGTATGATGGGGGTGCCATGTTCAACACGCAATAACTCTTAGAATGATAATATCACCTGTGAGTCGCCAGTATTCTCGAAATAAAGAACAATATATTCCGCCCAGATGACTTGCAATCCGCGTGTCTGCTTGAGCATGTCACTGTGGCGAAAGAGGTTGGTGATTAATCATGGGAGAAACTCATGAGGGTGATTTGAAATGCTATTCTTTCACTAGTGTTTAAATTCTCTTTGTGCGATCGAAGACTGGATACAGGCCATGAAGATGGTTGCAAGGAGAGAGGCGTTGCGTCCAGAGAGGGTAGTACGTAGGCTGGCACGTGAGCGCGCGAAAGTGGGGCGTTGCACGTATCGCGCCTTCCATCTCGTATGTCTTACTTGCGCCATCATCATTATCACCTCCACAAGATACGTCTCTCTCTTCCTGTCAGCTCGCAAGCATGGCGGACGAAATGGACACTTCGCAATCGTCGCCACGTGGAACTAAACGCAAAGGCGATGATAGCCTTTCACTTCCTGCGCCACGCAGGATCAAGGCACTTTCGCAAGATGTCGTCAACAAGATTGCTGCCGGAGAAATCATCGTCGCACCTATGCATGCGTTGAAAGAACTGATTGAAAATGCTGTGGATGCGGGATCGACCGCACTGGAAATCTTAGTGAAAGACGGTGGTCTCAAGCTTCTGCAGATTACCGACAACGGGCATGGGATTGACGTATGTTTGACTTGTCACAACAACATCGCATTCTAACTATCCCAGAAAGAAGATTTACCGATCTTGTGCGAGCGCTTTACTACGTCCAAGTTGAAGGCTTTTGAGGATCTAACCTCAATCGGCACATATGGTTTCCGTGGCGAGGCGCTGGCGAGTATCAGCCACATTGCCCATCTCAAAGTCACTACGAGGACGAAAGAGTCAAGTTGTGCGTGGGAAGCTCATTTCGCAGACGGCAAGCTCACCAGTCCAAAACCGGGCCAGAGCGCAGAACCAAGGCCCAAAGCAGGACGGCAAGGTACCACCATTACGGTATGTCAAAACAGAAACAGATTTGGGCGATGGAACTCATGTGATGCTAGGTTGAAGATTTGTTCTACAATGTCCCCTCTCGACGTCGGGCCTTTCGTTCAGCTAGTGAAGAGTATGCAAAGATACTCGACCTCGTTGGACGCTATGCCGTGCATTGCCAAGGAGTCGCCTTTTCGTGCAAAAAGGCAAATGAAACCTCTGGAAATAGCGTGACAGTACCTGCATCTGCTACAGTAAAAGACCGTATACGTCAAATCCATGGTATTAGTGCTGCCAACGAGCTAGTGGCCTTGAACGTTAAAGATGATCGCTGGGGTTTCAAGTGCGACGGCTGGATCAGCAATGCAAACTACAGCGCGAAGAAGACGCAGATGTTGCTTTTCATAAATCACCGTTCAGTTGATTCTCAAGTGATCAAGAAGGGCGTTGAGCAGACATATGCAATGTTTCTACCGAAAGGAGGGCATCCATTCTTCTACCTCAGTCTCGAGATTGAGCCACAACGAGTTGATGTTAACGTACATCCTACAAAGCAGGAGGTACATTTCCTGAACGAAGACGAGATCATCGCTATGATATGCGATTCGATCCGCGATAGTCTCAGCAAGGTCGACACCAGCCGGTCCTTCGCAACACAATCACTACTGGCGAATCCTAAAGTCCCACTCTCAACGCCCCTGAAACCGACTCTACCAATCACTCCTAGTAAGGGCGATGCATCAGATCGTAGTGCCTCAAGAGCACCACAGACATCGACCAGAAAACGAAACGAAAACAATCTAGTTCGAACAGACACTTCGATCCGCAAAATCACATCGATGCTGCAGCCCGAACGATCAGTAGACGATGCCTCAGACGAAGAGAGCGAGATGGAATACGACGTCACAGAAAGAACACCAGTAGCATGCCGTCTAACCTCCATCAAAGAACTGCGCGCAGAAGTACGCGACGCAATGCACACGGAACTCACCGATATCATCTCAACACACACATTTGTCGGCATTGTCGACGAGCAAAAACGCATTGCAGCCATCCAGGGTGGAGTCAAGTTATTTCTCATCGATTATGGGATGCTGTGCAACGAGCTTTTCTACCAGATTGGTCTAACAGACTTTGCTAATTACGGATACATACGGTTTGATCCGCCCTTATCGCTAGACGAGTTGCTCAAGACAGCAGCGCAGCAGGAAAAAAGTAACGCGGGCGACTCAGCAAGCGAAGTGGACTGGGATCAAGTCGTCGACGTAGTCGGAAAGCAGCTTATCAACAAGGCGGCGCTGCTGAGTGAATACTTTGCTATCGACATTACGCCACAGGGCGAGCTCTGTTCTATACCGCTTTTGTTGAAGGATTACACGCCGTGTATGGGCAAGCTTCCACAGTTTCTGCTTCGTCTGGGCCCTCACGTCAATTGGGAGGAGGAGAAAGCGTGCTTTCAGACGCTGCTAAGGGAGTTGGCGTCGTTTTATGTACCAGAAAACTTGCCGTTTGTATCCGAGGCCGAGACTGATGGTAAAGAGGATAGCGACAAGAACGGAAAAGGTAAAGGCAAGGCACAAGAGGATGGGGACGAAGAGACTGCCGTGAGACGGAAGAACGTACTGCAAGCTATCGAGTATACCATCTTTCCGGCATGCAAGGCACGGCTGGTAGGGACGCGAGGGATGCTCAAGGGCGGGGTCATTGAAGTCGCAAACCTGAAGGGCCTGTATCGTGTGTTTGAGCGGTGCTAAAGTAGCAAGGCTCTGCTGGTGCTACTGATATTCGTCATGATATTTTGGGGGTATCTAGTAAGTGGGTGACAAAGTAGAGCTAATGCCATTCGCCATACGCATCGGAATCCATTCACTTCAACTTTCTTAGGCCGCTGCAGCCTTTTCTTCTTCTTCGTCTTCGTCGGACTCGTCGGAGATTTCAACCAGGTCTTGGATACTGCGCCTGGACTTCTTTTTGCCTCCTTTGCCGCTCGTACTGATGGTATCGAGAAAACCGCTGTTGTCCATCTTGGCTTGTAGCTTGGGCGCGGATGCGACATCTTGGATGAATAGTCGCTCATGGTATGATTCAAAGGCTCTCTCGTCCTGCAAATACGTTAATTGCTATGCGCAGCTGCCTTCCACCAGACTACCTACGTTTTCGTCAAAGTAATTCAGTTTTTGCCACTGCTCCTGGTTCGTCGCCTTCATAAAAGCTTGCGTCATCTCTGCAGCCGTGTCGCCACCAGTCTTTTTGACCTGAGCGAGGAAAGCTTTTGGCTCTGCAAGCTTTGCGCCCTCTTGTGACTCTTTCTCACGCCGGCGCTGAACTGCCTCTAGCTGGGCAGAGGCGTCGATGTGGTGAAATTGTGTTCGGAGTTGTACGAGACCGTCAATGCGTGTAAGGTGGAGTTCGTCTATCAAAAATTAGTGGAGGTTCGACGGCGCAATTCAGGTTGCGATAACTCACTGTCACGAAACGTGCCGAGCATGTAGCTAGGGCCCTTGCCATCCTCGTGCAGAATCTGGCCTCCAAAAGTCTGTGTATTGAGGACGTGTCCCTTCTCGTTGGCGTCCTCAAAGTGAGTCACATATTCTTCAATATTATCGTCATCATCGGCGGTAACGGGTGCGACGGGTGCTCCTTCGCCGGCAGCTCCAGGCCGGTTCGCACTGCGCGGCATGGTGCGCTCAAACCCAGAGGCGATACCAAAAGCCTTTTGCCCAAAACCCTTGGTCTTGCGCATGGCTTCGCCCCATCGCACACCAGCGAGGCGGTTGTAGTTGCGGTGAATGTTGATGGGCACGTCGACCTCGATGAAGCCAGAGTCTTTTTTTATGCGCAACTCGGTCGGCTGACTTTCAGTCGCCTTAGTGAAGGGCTGGTCCGGGGGGCGATTCAGGTACTGGAGGACATAGAGCTGCTGCTCAGCTACATCAGGCGTGATGTAGACATCGTACTCGGCTACAACTGGGTCGTCGTCTTCAACGTCCATGGCTGCTGGAATTCGCCCGTCAAGTTAGCAAAGCCGGCGCCTCTTGGTGTTTTTATAGGCAGAGGCTGGTCTTACGAGCCATTGTGTGTGTATGGTGAGGAATTGCAAGCACAAGTGCGTACCGGAGCCAAAAAGTTCCAAAAGAGCCAAAAGTTCGCTCCGCCCCGCAACGCGAAGTCGCGTGGAGCCGCGGCCCGTGCAGCTGCATGACGGAATGCATCCGATCATCCCCAGGCCTGTCAACAGTGACAATCCCAACTTAAAGTCTTTGAGCCACCCGCGGGCTTCGGAGCATTCTAGACATCGCCATGGCCTATATAGCCCCCATTCATCGACCAAGCAGCATCAGGCATGCCCTGAAGCTCAACTTCCTGGCTCCGGAAGACGACTGCCTGGTGGTCGCGTAAGTGGTATATGCAGAGAGAGCAGATGGAGACTAACGTCATGATAGAAAGTCAAATAGACTCGAATTCTATACACACGAGGCAGACGGACTGGTCCTGAAACATTCCAAAGCGATCTATGGCAAAGTCACCATGCTCCAGAAGCTGCGACCAGCACTATCTCCCACCGACCATCTCTTTGTCGGCACCGACCGCTTCATGTACTTTACGCTGTCCTGGAATGCCGAAAGTAAACAGCTTCAGACTGAAAAGTCGTTTGCGAGTGTCGCCGACAATGCAGCCAGAGAGTCGCAAACGGGCGAGCGATGTCACATTGATCCCACTGGCCGATTCATGACTATCGAAGTGTACGAGGGTATCCTCACCGTCATACCATTGGTCCAGAGAGGAAAGAAGAGAAAGCAAGAGGCGGACATTGCCCATCTGGGTGATCCTCAGCCGGTTCGATTACCCGAAATGTTTGTCCGCTCATCCGCTTTCTTGCGCCCACGATCCACAGACGATAAGCCCAAGATGGCTCTACTTTACGAAGACACACATGCCCAAGTCAAGCTGAGATTACGAGAATTGACATATGCCGGTGATGAAGTCGACCTGCAAGAGGGAGAAACCTGCAAGAGCGAACTGGAACTTGGTTCAAGCCACTTGATCCCACTCGAGGAACCGTCGCATGGCCTGATAGTCATTGGAGAGACATCAATTGGATACTTTGATGACGAAAGTGGAGAATTACAAACAGAGCCGCTTGACGAAGCGACCATCTTTGTGGCTTGGGAGCGCATCGACGCCCAGCGCTTCGTTCTCGCTGACGACTATGGTCGCCTCTACATGTTCATGCTAGTCCTGAACGCACAAGGGAGAGTGCAGTCATGGAAACTTGATGTTATCGGCCAGACGTCCCGTGCATCAACCCTGGTTTACCTAGATGCAGGTTACGTATTCGTGGGCTCACACCAAGGCGACTCGCAAGTCATCCGAATTGCCGAGAAATCAATGGAGATTGTCCAAACCTTTTCCAACATTGCTCCGATTCTTGATTTTACTATAATGGATATGGGCAACAGATCTGGCGAAGGTCAAACCAACGAATACTCCTCAGGCCAAGCACGAATAGTGACCGGCAGTGGTGCATATCAGGATGGTAGCCTTCGAAGCGTTAGAAGTGGTGTTGGTCTAGAAGACCTTGGTGTGTTGGGCGAAATGGAGCACATTTCTGAGCTATTCAGCTTAAAGTCAACCGCTTCAGCTCAATACATAGACACGCTATTGGTGAGCTTTGTGGGCGAATCACGCGTCTTCCGGTTTGATTCTCAGGGTGAAGTCGAGGAAGTGGACGAGTTTGTCTCGCTCGCTCTCGATGAGACAACACTGGCTGCAGCAAATATTCCACAAGGTCGCATCGTCCAAGTCACCAACGGCCGAGCTCGAATCTGTGATTTGGACGGCGGCATGATCACATCGGAATGGGTACCAACAGACGGCAAGACCATCACTGCCGCCTCGGTCAACGAGACCCATGTACTTGTATCATTGGGTGGCGTCACCATAGTCTCCCTGAGCATGGCCGACGGGTTACAGGTGGTCAAGGAGAAGACGTTTGGCGCCGAGAGTCAGGTTGCTTGCGTTACCTTGCCCTCTGGAACCAGCTCCACTTGCTTTGTTGGCTTCTGGAACAACTCACAGCTCGCCATATGCTCACTCGATACTCTTGAGGCCGTAAAAACCGTTCAAATATCCGACGACTCTGTTCCGCGCTCATTGATCCTCACACAAATATTCCCTGATCAACCACCATCACTCTTTGTTGCTTTGGCTGATGGAAATGTTGTCACATATACTTTCGACCCGTCAAACCACGAGCTTTTCGGAAGGAAGAGTATCGTGCTTGGGACACGTGAAGCCACCTTCCGTGCCCTGCCACGGGGCGATGGTCTCTTCAACGTGTTTGCAACATGTGAACACCCCTCCCTGATCTACGCGTCAGAAGGCCGCCTTGTATACTCTGCCGTTACAGCTGAAAAGGCGACAACAGTGTGCCCGTTCGATTCAGAAGCATACCCTGGTTCCGTTGCAATCGCCACATCTCAAGACCTCCGCATTGCGCTTGTAGACACCGAAAGAACTACCCACGTACAAACACTCAAGGTAGATGAGACAGTACGGCGGATAGCCTACTCACCGAGTCTGAAAGCTTTTGGTCTCGGCACAATAAAGCGCATACTGAAGCATGGAGAGGAGATTATGCTGAGCCACTTCAAGCTTGTCGACGAAATACAATTCAAAGAACTCGACACCTATGCGCTCAACGAAGAAGAGCTGGTCGAATGCGTAATGCGCTGCGAACTACCGGACGGCTCTGGTGGGCTAGCAGAGCGCTTTGTTGTCGGTACCGCATATGTTGATGACCAGAACACGACATCTGAACGAGGTCGTATTATTGTCTTGGAAGTCACACCCGAGCGCATACTCAAGCTTGTCACTGAGATTGCTGTGAAAGGCGGATGCAGGTGCCTAGCTATATGCCAAGGCAAGATTGTCGCTGCGCTCATCAAGACAGTCGTCGTGTATGACTTCGAGTACCGAACCCCTAGCACACCCGATCTCGTCAAACTTGCATCATTCCGATGCTCAACAGCCCCAATAGACGTTACAGTGAACGGCTCCTTGATCGCGATAGCAGATCTCATGAAGTCACTCGTCATAGTTGAATACACAAAGGGCGAGACGGGTCTGCCGGACAAACTTGTGGAAGTCGCGCGACATTACCAGATTACATGGGCGACAGCCGTGGCAGAGGTAGACACGAATATGTATCTTGAAAGCGATGCAGAGGGTAACCTAGTCGTCTTGTACCGCGATCCAAACGGTGTCACCGATGACGATAAGAGACGACTGAATATCAGCTCTGAGATGTTGCTCGGCGAGATGGTAAACAGAATACGCAGGATAGATGTTTTGACTGCCGCGGATGTGGTCATTGTACCAAAAGCTTTCGTTGGAACTGTAAGTGTAGCCTGCCTCTTATTGCGAAACACAGTTGCTAACCACTTCAACCCATACAGGTCGAAGGCTCAATTTACCTCTTTGGCCTCATATCCTCCGACTACCAGAATCTCCTCATGACACTGCAGTCCAATCTCGGTTCTCTCGTCGCCGCACCGGGCGACATGCAGTTTGCCAAGTTCCGTGCGTTCAAGAACTCAGTGCGTGAAGAAGAAGAGCCCATGCGGTTTGTGGACGGGGAGCTGATCGAGCGGTTCCTGGATGTTAGTGAAGAGGTGCAGAGCAAGGCAATTGAGGGGTTAGGGGTGGAACTGGAAGAAATAAAGGGATTAATCGAGGCATTGCGACGTCTACATTAAGTGTGGGCAGGAGGGAGATATAAGGTGCTGTAGCAATAGCTAGTAGGCGCCAATGAAGCAAAAAGCAAATAAGAAATTCATTAGATCATCCTATGCAGAAGGTCTCCACCTCACTCTCTCCGTGATGTAACAATGTATGTAAAATGATAGAGGAAAGAAGAACTAGAAACAAGAGCGGAAACCAAATCCTTTTTTTGTGTTTTGAAGATGCACCACCAGCTCAAAAGAATGAGATGAGCGCTAATTGCAGCTTTAGCTGCATATTACGATCAGTTCTGGAGGGGCTCTGGTCGGATGAGAATAGTAGTAATGAGGTGATTGTGAGGAGCCGAGATGAAGACCACTGCGTTCGCCAGGAAAACGTAGGATAGAACGGTTAAGTCCCCGCTTCCTCAAAATTTCCATTCATATTCGTTAGGCGTATCACCGTCACGAGTACCATCACCATTGGCCTCGCCGCCATTGCCCTCACCACCGTTTGCGTCATCTCCATTGGCATCATCTCCATTGGCATCATCTCCATTGGCATCATCTCCATTGGCATCATCTCCATTGGCATCATTCCCAGCGGCGCCATCTCCATTGATCTTGTCGCCGTCAAGCTCATCCCCATCCACTTCATCCTTATTCTTGCCCTTGCCCTTGCCATGCTTCTTCCTCTTGTTTCTCTTGCTCTTTTTGCCCTTGCCCTTCTGTTGTACCCCCCAGATACCGCCGTGTCCATTGGTGGCATTGAATTGGTCACGAAAGCCATTTTGGATGCCCTCGACCTGGTTTATCTGATTGCAGAAAGCGGGGAAGGGGCTTGGGTTTGAGGAGTTGGCGGGATACGGGTTAGACGCGGGAAAATTGTTGTTGTAATGGCTGTTCATGTAGTTATAGTTGTTGTTGAAGTGGAAGTAGTGGTAGTCATTGGAGGAGAGGGCAATGGTTTGAGCATTGGGAAAGGGGGTAGCAGCGTTGGCATTGGGGAAGGGGGAGTAAAGGTTGTTATGAGGAGTGGTGGAGGCGGTTTGGCTGGGGCTATTGTAGCTGTTGCTGTAACTGTTGCTACTATAACCTCTACCGCTACCGTTGCCGTGATTGCTGCTGCTGCTACTGCTACTACTGTGACCATTATAGGCTTGCGATGGTGGCTGCGGTGGTAGAGGATGTGATGGCAGTGGTTGTGATAGAGGTGGCTGAGATGGTGGTTCCGGTAGTATCTGCGGCGGGACAGTATAGTACCATGTGCCTCTATATATATACGGTTGCGGAACCATCTGAAAAACCAATTGATGCTGATTAAAGGCCTGCTGTGAGGGACCAGAGCTTGGAGAGAACGCGGGAGCATTAGGGCTGAGCGCGATGGATGGGTTATCGTGCGCCATTTTCTGCTTTTAAGGCTGATGGGTTGGCCACGTACGCTGATCTCGCAGAAAGACACAAGTACAGGAGTGGTCTGTAGGGCGCTGGTCGCTGTATCCTAGTCTTGCGGAAATGCAGTGTGGAACTGTTGTGTAAAAGGTACGTAGGTACTAAAACGGTCTGTTCTGAATTTAAGGAAAGGAGTGCAAGCTTATAAGGGAACGATCTAGCTGATGGACTGCAGCTTCTCATGGATTGTGGGAGGAGTCGTACCATTGAAATCACCAACCTCCAATAAAAAGGCCCCTAATGATGCTTATGCATTGGGATGGTGATGTGCCTACCTATCTATTTTAATACACCATCTTCATCACTGCTCTCCTCTTCATTATTGACACTGTTCAGTTCTACATGGTCCTGGTCTTCGTCGTCGTCTCTGAATCCTTCGGTATTGGCATCACCATCACGATCGAGGAGCGGAGCTTCACCGGTCGTAGCCATGACGCCTTGCTTTTCCGTCTCTTCTCTCATTCCAATAATCACGCTCCCAGCTACGAGCATTGCTGCCCCGAGCCACCACAACGCGGGGAGGCTCTCGCTGAAGATGATGAAACTAAGGATAGCGGTGACGATGAAATTTGCAGACGTGTTGATAATGCTAACCCGTACAGTCGAGGAGGCGAGAGTAAGAGCACGTGTGAAAAGACCCCACATTATGGCGTTGAAAAGGAGGTTCATGCCGAAGAAGAGCTGCTCGTGGCGTTAGACAAGTGAGATGGATTTATCTGAGACGTAGACGCGGGTAGAGACGGACCCCTCGAATCGCATACTCGACGACTTTATTGGAAGCACTAAGGCCGAAAGCTACGGCTATAGAGCTCGACCATGAAGCTGTAAGGGTTGTCGTTGTACTGCAGTCTGGTTAGTATGCAATATGGATAACGGCGACGCGGGGGGTGTTGTACAGCTTCGCAAACACGCCGTTGAAGGCTGCACATGCACCACTGGAGATGGCAAGTGCCAGCCACGCTGATCTTGTTTTCGGAACAGACATGGCAGCCCTTTTTTTTGCTATAGCGGGAGTGGGGGTGAGGCTCAAGGCAATGTTGAAGTTGACAGCAGGGTTAATTGGTATCACGATAGGGTTGGCGATCTGCAAGGTACGGATGCGCTACGTTACCGAGCCTAGTTGGAAGACATGGGGTAGCTGCGCGCAACGGTTAGCTTCACATGATTCTGGTCATGAAGCTTGTGCACACACACACACACACACACCAAGGGACGCGCATCTACAATGATGAGTGAACGAATGAGTACAGGCTATCTCATAGCAAAGTCACTCTGGGTCATGATGCATTCAATAAAGGAAAGTGAAGGATGGTATATATAATATGCGCATGCTTCATGCTTGTTCCATTCTGAGGGCGTTGATCCAGACGCCATTTGCAAATGCCAAACTCCAAACTCCCGTTATGCCAGAGGTATCGTGGTTTTTCCCTGTCCAAATCATGACTCCGATTAAAAATGTGCCAGAGGATCAACCCTATGAGCAGACACTTGGAGTTTAGGTGACGCCGCATTCCCAGGGTCCTGTGTGTTTTCAACTGCAGCCATTTTTGTGGCACTCTGGTATATATCTGAGTATCCTTGACTCTATCAACGTGCGGATGAGGTTCTCTATGCTTCGCCAGGGCGTTTCGCATTACAACTGACGATTTTAACGCGGTCGGCGTGGATCTGGTGGGTATTATCGAGCTTGAAGTTAATATCCTTGATAATGAAGGTCCAGACGTCGTCGCAGAAGCGGTATGTGTCGAGATGTCCCTAAGGCGACCCAAGTCAGTATAACGAGACTCGGCTTTGTGTCCAGGCGCAACCGACCTTGAATGTCAACCGTGCCTTGACCTTCTCGGAAAGCACATCGGCCACGGCCCGGTCAAAGTTGGCGAGAATCTTCATGGCGAGTTGGGGCTCTATTCGGCGCTCAGTAATGAGGTGATCCAGCGTGTCTGTGAGAGAGCCGCCCAGGCTGCAGCGTGTTAGCTAATGCGGTCGGCATGGCGTCTCTGCGGTCGCAACACATACCTGCTTCGGCGGTAGAGCTCATAGTACTTTGTGTTGTCGGTGGCCATGGTGCTGATGTTTGCGACGGACTGGTGTTCTGGGGATGGTGACGTTTGGGTGCGAGGAGGGTTGGGGAGCGCGGAGCGGAGGTTACTAAGCCGGTGGAGCTAGCGCGCCGCGGCTTGTTCCGCCTGCATCATCGCCAGCTTCAGAGCCCGTCCATCACGACGAAGCTCCAAGCAGCCCCCTCCAGCATCCATCTCCGCCTCTACGACCACTTTACATCCAACATGTCTCTCACTTACGGAACGGGCGGCGCCACGGCCGCCCTCGGTGTGGTTGCCTTGTGTACGTGCAGCGCGCAGGGGCGACGGCGACGGCATAGCTAACTACAACCAGACATGCTCTTCCACGGCGAAGGAGAGGCTTTCAACGTGAGAACGCGCTGCGCTACTATCATTTACATGCATGGCTAATTGCGCACCAGGTCGGAGCTTTCCTCGAAACCGTATCACCGTACACCTGGGCTAGTCTTGGAATCGCGCTGTGCATCGGCCTCTCCGTAGTAGGATCCGCATGGTACGTCTCCGCGCAGCAAACACATCCATATACAATTCGCATCTGACAGTCGCAAAGGGGAATCTGGACAACTGGCGTGTCCATCGTCGGTGGAGGTGTCAAGGCACCCCGGATACGAACTAAGAACTTGATCTCTATCATCTTCTGTGAAGTCGTTGCCATCTACGGCGTCATCATGGCCATCATCTTCTCCTCCAAGATGACCCAGCTTACCGACCCCGAGCTGCTCTACTCTGGATCAAACTACTTCACCGGATACGCCCTCTTCTGGGCCGGACTTACCGTCGGCATGTGCAACCTGATCTGCGGTGTCTGCGTTGGCATCAACGGAAGCAGTGCTGCTCTGGCTGATGCTGCCGACCCTGCACTGCAAGTCACCCACATCCGCAGACTCCAGCTGCTCGCTAACTTTCGATTAGGTTCGTCAAGATTCTCACTATCGAAATCTTTGCCGCTATTCTCGGACTGTTTGGACTTATCATTGGATTGTTGATGCAAAGCAACGCAAAGGACTTTGAGTGAGCTTACAGGGACTTTATTGGCTTGCGCAAAATTTCGGAAAAACCCACCAGGTCGATCTTTGATCATGCTTGAAGGCGACGAGCAAACAAATGCTACAGATGTCAGCACAGGAAGCTGGCTTGGACGTTACAGAAAGTTACTATTGTAGAAGTTTGTACGATGTACATGGGGAGGGCGCTTGTATAATGCATGTGTACTATGAGCAATCACCGGCGTTAAATACCAGTTTTTTTTAAAGAAAACATATCCAAACACTCCTGCACACGTGAAGCTGACGTCTGAGTAATCCTTCGACATACTGTCGGTGGTCCGTGCACTGGGTTAGGGAACGTGGGATGTCACACAAGCTCCACTTCATTTAGACTCGACATTACCACCTCATAAAATGGCTACTACGAATTCCAAGTTGAGAGCAGCGATTTTGGTCGTCTCCGAGACAGCCTCGCAAGATCCTACAACCGATAAATGCATACCTACTTTAAACCAAGTCTTCGGCGATCTCGGGAACAACCAATGGGACATTAGCGAAACCGAAATCGTACCTGACAATGCTCTTGCAATCCAGAAGGCTATCAAGACTTGGACTGATGGGCCAGAGCCTGTGAACTTGATCGTTACAAGTGGGGGGACTGGGTTTGCTACGAAAGATGTCACTCCAGAGGTATGTGCATCATTGTAAATCATCCTGAAGTCGAAGAACTGATCAGTCAAAGGCAGTTACTCCATTGATTGACAGACATGCTCCAGGTCTTATGTGCGTAGAGTTGTTTGAGGATAGTCTGGCTGTTGACTAACACTTTTTTTAGCCATGGCATGCTTACGACCTCGTATGCAGTCACACCTTGTCCGTAATGTCATATTCTGACCAAGATTTATGCTAACGATTCGTAGTTGCCCTGATGGCACGGCCTGTTGCTGGAGTTCGAAAACGAACTTTGATTATGACCTTGCCTGGGTCACCAAAAGGCGCCAAAGAGAATCTAGAAGCGGTGCTCAAGCTGCTACCACATGCATGCCTTCAAGCAGCTGGTGCAGAGTCACGGCCGCTCCACGCTGGTGGTGTGAAGAAACTTGAGAAAGATGCAGGTGTCTCATCAGGGAGTGCTCCTTCTGCTGGTATGTCAAATTTCGTTCGTGACTTCTAAGAAGTTTTGTTGGTAATAATGGACTATTATAGGAACCGGAGGTGGATGTGGACATCACCATCACGGACATGGTAGTCATGTGGGGCCAAAGGCTCATACAAAGCCAGCAGAGCATCCGCAATCAAATGATCCTTCAGCAGGACCAACGAAGAGATATCGATCCTCGCCATATCCCATGTTGGCTGTCGACGCGGCCTTGAAACTCATTGCAGAGAAGACGCCAGCTCCTATTGTAGAGAAAGTCCCTGTAAACATGAAGATAGGCGGCTCCGTTCTTGCCGAGGACGTTAAGGCGGCTGAATCTGTTCCAGCTTTCCGAGCCAGCATCGTCGATGGTTACGCTATCAAGATTCCGTCTTCAGGCAAGTTCGAGAAGGGCGTATACCCAGTCTCGATTATCTCACACGCCCAACCTGGTGAGGTCAAAGAACTCAAAGAGGGTGAGATTGCAAGGATCACTACGGGCGCGCCACTTCCACCTGGTGCTGATGCTGTCATCATGGTGGAAGATACCGCACTCAAGACTTTGACTGATGACGGCCAAGAGGAAAAGGAAATTGAGATTCTTACAGATGAGATTAAGGCTGGTGAGAACGTACGCGAGGTGGGTAGTGATGTGAAAGAGGGCGAGACCATCATGAGAAAGGGAGAGGGCGTCACAGTCGTGGGTGGGGAATTTGGACTTCTTGCCTCTGTTGGTACACGGGAAGTATCGGTTTACAGAAGGCCAGTTGTTGGTGTTCTAAGCACGGGAGATGAAATCATCCCACACGAGAGGGAAGGCCCGCTCCGACTAGGAGAAGTCCGTGATACGAACCGCCCTACACTGATTACTGCCGCCCGTAGCCACAGATTTGAGGTCATCGATCTCGGCATTGTCTCTGACAAGTATGTTTCTTACATGTTCTCATCCCCTCCATCCGATCTCTGCTTCATTAAAGCTAACAGGGTTTTCTTTATTAGACCAGGTACCCTGGAGCAGACACTTCGTGATGCGATGCGCAGATGCGACGTAATCATTACCTCGGGCGGCGTTTCTATGGGTGAACTCGACCTACTCAAGCCCACCATTGAGCGCACCCTCGGGGGCACCATTCATTTTGGCCGAGTAAATATGAAGCCCGGTAAACCAACCACCTTTGCGACAGTCCCTGTAAAAGATAACGACGGCAACCCTGTCAACAAAGCTATCTTTTCTTTGCCTGGTAACCCTGCTTCAGCAGTCGTCTGCTTCCATCTTTTCGTTCTGCCGGCGCTGCACCAACAGGCGGGCATTAAGCCCGTGGGGCTACCGCGCGTCAAAGTGGTACTGGAAGAGGATATCAAGATGGATAGAGGAAGGCCTGAGTATCATCGTGCGCTTGTGGTGACCAAGGAAGATGGGCTTTTGTATGCGAGTTCCACAGGAGGTCAGAGGAGCAGTCGCATTGGCAGCTTCAAGGGCGCAAACGCTCTGTTATGTATGCCAAAGGGGGAGGGAAGTCTGAATAAGGGAGAGAGAGTGGATGCGTTGCTCATGGGTAAGTTGGGAGAGGTGGAGCGTTGAAGGCACAACGTGCATGCGTGGGTGGTATCATGTTGTATTGCTTAGTGTAGAAGTCAATCCTTTGTTCATTCCCTGGAAAGGAATTGTAGTAAAAAATGAAGGGATTTCCTTTCTCTCAGACAACCAGTGAAGTGAGAGATAAGATCGTCCAGCACCGAACGTCTACAGTAAAGCCCGCTTGGAGTCTTAATTGATGCTAAAATATCACTAGTGATATTTTACTCAATATACACTTTATTGAAGTAAATATGGTCGTACTCTATATAACCGCTTATATTTTCATTTGAATTAATACTGTGGTGATGCTGATATTTCGTAGTAAAGGTAGCTCTGAGGTTTCCGATCTCACTGATAAACCAAAAACCTTCCAAGAACGGTCAAGATAGCGAGTACAGTAGAGTGGCCAACACACTAGCAAAACACGTTGATTGTAATACGCCTAAAATAAATATGTATTCTGCCGCCGCAGAATAGATGTAATGCTCTTCTATGCCTGTAGCTATGCCCGTAGCTAGATTCAGGTATATGATCTAGATCTCGAGTACTTACATGCGTAGAAACTATGAAGCTCTACTTCTCTCCGGACAAAGAGACTCGGGCCAAGAATAACACTCCGAGGGAACTCCAGGCATGTGCGTCCTTTCATCTCGGCCAAGCCGGCAGGTAAAGGCTACCGCATGAGAGTGCCAACCGTTCACGCCACTACGTCGATGTTTCACTACTATAACCAGTAACTTGGAGTGTGATCTCGAGATTCACAATACGGTTCGATCGGCCTTGGAAACCATGATTTGAAGTTAATGCGATACAAAAATAGTAGCTTTGACGTTCTTGTCTCGTATGCCTGCCAAAACGCTTTCGGTCATTCTTAGGGAGCATAGCTGTCCCGCAGTTTCAGGTATCCCTACACTCTGGGGTTGACAACATGCGTCATCAGCTAACAGTAGCGAGTCTTTACATAGTTCTAAGGTATGGTGATCGAATATTGTATATATACTCTAGAGGATATCCAAAAAGAAACGGCACCACGCCATCGAGCACCGTCCATTCATTCAGATAACCATCTACATTCTTTTACAGTTCTTTTGTATCAATTCAAAGGCTTCGGCTGATTTTACCGAAACCGTGCATCTGAAAAAAATAGTATTCTGGTGTACTTCTCCAGCGTAGCCTTTGCTTCTCCAGTGGCCTCACCGCAAGGCGTAGGAAATGGCGCAGATTCATGTCGCGTTTCTGCATTGGAGCCAAAAACATGGACGGACCTTAAAATCGACGATTTCCTCGCAGCGGCTACAAAGAACTACACCAGGACGACGAGTAACAATGTTCAATCGCTAGCCGCTTCCTTCGGTGCTCCTAATTTCTTCTGTGGTCTTGACAAGTTCTGCAATGCTGGCCAACCATGCTTGCCCATTCAACCACCTGCTTGGTAAGTTTGTTTTTTTTCATTGAGGGGAGATTTATGAAAGGTCACGCAAGATACGGAACTAACTAGTGCTTTGCAGGTATGCTGCGCTGGCTATTCAGAACTATAACAATTATATGAACAGTCTCAATACCGCTGTTACATTTGCCTCGTCAATTATCTCTTTGAAATTGGGAGAGGTTGTTGCAGATGTATATCCAGATCCTAAAGATGACATCACGCCTTTGAAGAACATTGGGTCCATGGTCAGCAGTGTCCTGGGCGTAATTTCGTTCACTGGTGCTGTTGCTTCAACTGTAACTGCTGTCAATGGAGGGCTGGGATTTGCCTTGAGGCGTGCTACACCACCTACTCCACCAGATAGGTTCGTTGCGTGGACCAATCTCGGGCAAACAATGAGCGATGTCCTGAGCGATTTCCAACGCTTCATTTCAGATTCCTTGGACAGATCTCTCAACGCAGTGGTTGATGATCCGACGGACGGAATCAGTAAGTTCTCGTGCATATATTAGTATGGAACACAGTCACTTATATGTGCAGATGAACTTATTAAGGGAGGTGGATTTCTAGGTGTGAGCGAAAACTTCACACAAAGCGATCTCCAGACTATCGTCACTGAGTCAATCACCCGCCATGCAATTGGCCTCGCCCTACAAGCGTAGAAGATCTACATATCCCATTCCCGCAAGTCTACAGGCTGCAAAGAGACAATTTCAAGGCTGTGCGTAGACAACGGAGATGGCTCTTTCACATCACGCATTTTGACACAAGCGGGCAAGCGTGAGAACTCGTTGAACAAGGATGATCTCGTCGAGATTTTGATATCAAAATATGGCTCTACTAAGGAGGAAATTCTCAAAGGCCCAACTGACTGCTTTGTTGCGAACAATGAGCAGCAGTTGGTCAACCCATTTGAGAAGGGTTTCCCGACCGATCCGAAAGCGCCTTGCGTTTTCAACGTGCTCACATGCAATTTTGACACGCCTGGGGGGG